CCCCGCCGACCTGGTCTACTTCGAGAAGTCGCCCGACTTCTGCGAGCGCGAGCCGCGCCTGGACTCGGCGGGCACCGTGGGCCGCCTGTGCAACAAGAGCAGCGCGGGCCCGGACGGCTGCGGCAGCATGTGCTGCGGCCGCGGCCACAACATCCTGCGCCAGACGCGCAGCGAGCGCTGCCACTGTCGCTTCCACTGGTGCTGCTTCGTGGTCTGCGAAGAGTGCCGCATCACGGAGTGGGTCAGCGTCTGCAAGTGAGCGGCCCGGGGTCCCCTGGGCTCCGAGCGAGGTCTCCTCCTCGCTCCGGGCCCTCTGTGGCTCTGAGATCTTGGCCAGGCAGCATCGACTTGGCGCCTGCGAGAGGAGATGGGGCCACGTGATCCTACAGGAATCTCGCCGCTCCGAGAGTCTGAGATCACGGGACACTACAGACCTGTCTGGACCCCACCACTCAGTTCTGTGGGCTCCGGGACTGATTGGCCTCCCCCCTCCCCGCCCCAAGTGCAGACAGCTCAGATGGGCTGGGGACTGCCCCCTACCCTGGGATAAGTGTTAGCCAGCAACCCCTCAGCCTTTCTCCATCTTTCATGCCTCCCCCTGAAGTGGGAGGTAATGAATGAAGCTGATGGGCAAAGGGAGGAGGATTAAAAAGAAGAAATCAACATAATTGAACTGAAGTGATTCTATAAAGGCCCAGGACACCCTTTCCCACAGTCTCCGCCCTTTACCATTCCCCTCATCATTCACTTAACAAATATTTATTTTGCACTCTCTTTGCGGCACTCTTTTGGGGGATGACCGGCACTGGGGATTCAGATGTGAATAAGAGAGCACAGCACCTGCCCTCTTGGAGATTACATTCTTGCTGGGGAAATGGACAATAAATACGTAAATATGCAAACAAGATTATTTGGGACATTGCTGTGGGCCATGGAGAAAATAAAGCAGGCTGTTAGGTGTAATTTGTGGGGAGTAGGGCCCTTTAGATAAAGTCACTGGTTAGGGAAGACCTCTCTGAGTTGTGATATCCATGCTGAGATGGGCACCATGAGGAGAGGCATGCAGAGATTGAGGGTGAGGATTGTTCAGGCAAGAGGCCACATGGATGCAAAATTTCTGAGGTGAGAAAGATCTCTGTCTCCCGGAGGAACAGCAAAGGGGCTGTTGTAATTGAAGAAATTAAGGGGCAGATCAGCAGGAGAGGACCTCAGAGGGTGGGCAAAGTTCACATCATGTGTCTTTCTAGGCCAAGGGAAGGAGTTGGGATTTTATTTAAGGGGAGTCTTAGAGAGTCTTAAGCAGAGGAGTGTTGTGGTCTGATTCCCACATGGATTGCCTTATGGGGAACTGCCTGAAGGGGACAAGGTGTCAGCTGGAAGGTCAGTGAGAAGTATCAACTATCTTCCAATCCAGAGATGGGGCCTGGACTGGATAGAGGCAGTAGGGATGTTGAGAAATGACTGGATCCAAAGCCCTTGGTGCCAGAGCTCTAACCGCCCACCTTGTGCCTGAGCCCTCTGCCACAAGCCAGGACGAGTGGCCGTGCCCAGCAGCAACCGTCGGCAGAGACAGGAGGCACTGAGAGGAGTAATCCTGGGCAAGACCCAGCTCAACCCAGCCCAGCGCCCCGGGGAGCAGGTGGGGCCAGGAGGTGCGGCTGGGAAGACAGTGGCGGGGGAGGGCCCGGAGACTCGCTGTCTGGATCCTGGTCTCTCTGAGTCCACGCAGGAGATGCAGGGTATGTAAGTTAGACTCAGGGGGGTCATCTTTCCTCCAGATCCCCATATCGAGATGCCCCTTAGAGTAGGTCAATAATCTCTCCCCTCCCTCGTGGCCCCACAAGGACACTGCTGAGCTGGCAGATTGGGCCCAGTGTTGCATTCTCCTTGGCTCTCAGATCTGATGTTTTTCTGGAACAGACCCTCAAGGAGAAGGGCCGTAGAGAGGGAGATGGGGTCAGGATCTCAGGGAAAGAACACTTCACCTACTTCTTCCAGGCCTTCTGCTGCTCATGCTTGGGGATTCTGTAGGCTGTCTCAGTTTACTCCAGAATGGCACCCCTCCTGATGAACCAGACAAGGATGAAGACTTGTTCCTTTTCCTAATTGTCTGCCTGCACAAATCCTCCATATTTTCCTACCCCTGTGCCATATCTCCCTGCCCCTGGGGAGGGATGAGAGCATCTTATGGTGATGCACCCCTGTAGGCCCACCCGCTGGGAGTTTTGCCCCCAAGAGCTTGCCCTCAGCCCCTCCCCTCCAATTGTCTGCATCCCAGCCACTCCCAGACGTGAATATGGCAGCAGATCCTTCCAAATGCTGCCTCTGTGGAGGACAGGGTTTCTCTCCCCATCCCCCAAAAGACAGCCCCAGAGGCAGGCGGGTGAGCGTCCCCCAGGAGGAGGGGTAGGCAGGAGCAGCCAGACACACCTGCCTCATTCCTTTCCTCTTGTTCACCCAGGAGAGAACTGTGGGGGCTGGGTTTTCCACCCCCTTCCTCCCTCCTGTCCCAGGGAGGAGGAGAGAAGGGGTGCAGGAAATGGAGGCCATGGGGGCAGGGGTGCTCTCACGCCCAGCAATGTCCACTGCAGCATTAGCCTTGACCTCACCCTCCTCTGCTTTCCAGGCTTAAGGAGGACAGAGCTGGGGGAGGGGAGACTGGAGATGAGAGATAGAGGATCAGGGTTGGGATAATAAGGTAGAAGCTGCTTCTAGAGGGAGGGGTGGGTGGTAGGGTGGGGCAGGGGGCTGGACACTGAGTTGTAGGGCAGGGGACATATCCTAGTGAGTTAAGTCATGGTGATCTGATATGTGCTAACCTGATCTGTAAAGTCAGGAGCTGACTGGAGTTCTGGAACCAAAGTTGGATCCTACAGTTGAAAAGGGACTTGGTAAGAGTCCTAAAGTATTAGGGAGATGTGGAGATGATGGGAGGTGGCAAAACGAGGCCCAAGAAGCCCTGGGTATATGAGTATTGGCTGAAGGGCAAGGCCGGGATCGATATACTGATTAGAAATAGGGGCAGTGAGCCAGGCACGGTGGCTCACGCCTGTAATTCCAGTACTTTGGGAGACCGAAGTGAGAGGATTGCCCGAGCCCAGGGGTTCGAGGCCAGCCTGGGCAACTTGTCGAGACCTCGTCTCTACAATAGATTAAAGAAATAGCAGGGCATGGCGTACGCCTATGGTCCCAGCTACTTGGAAGGCTGAGGCAGAAGGATAACTTGAGTCCAGCAGGTGGAGGCTGTGGTGGCCATGAGTGTGGCACTGCACTCCAGCCTGGGTAACTACAAGACTCTGACTCAAAGAGTGAGAGAGAAGAGAGGAGAGGAGAGGAGATGAGAGGGGAGGAGAGGGGAGGGGAGGGGAGGGGAGAGAAAGAAAAAGAAAGAAAGAAAGAAATGAAGGAAGGAAGGGACAATGAGCTGAAATAAAGTAGGAGAATGGAGTTTAGATGGGAGGAGGAACTTGTCAACAGCTTGGGGGGAGGACAAGGGTGAAGTTTGGAAATGGGGAACAGAAGGTAGCCAGAAATTATTCAGAGAAGAGGATCTTCTTTGCCACCAACACCTTTCACACTAGATTACCTCCTTGCAGGAGGAAGAAGTCAGAGGAGGAAGGGAACGAACAGAGAATGAGAGTGGCGAACAGATCAGAAGGCAGTGATGGGGCTGAAGGTCAAGGAGAGGCAGCTAGGCTAGGATGTGATCAGAACACTGGCATTCTGCTTTGCAGTGGTCCAAGGAAGGCCCCAGGTTCGGGAAAAACGAGGAGGGCAGAGGCATTCAAAGGCAGACCTGGAGCTGTAGGAGTGCCCCGCGGGTGAGAAGCAAGGTCGGGGCCATAAGGGAGCTCCTTTCTTCCCCCTGAATTAATACGCCCTCAGCTAGCCCCTTGCAGGGGGCCTTCCATGTTGGAGCGTGGCCAGGCTCTAGTCGCAGTCCCCCTCCTCTTCTCCCACCCCCACTTCTCATGTGGTTGCCGGCAGCTGCCTGCGGTCGCCCCAGCCCCTGCGCTCAAGGCACGGGGACTTTCCAACAGGGGAAAAAATGACTTAATGAGAGTGGGAGCCGGGGGCGGGAGGGACAGGTCCCTGTAATCACCGCTCCGCTGTGGGGCTTGCGCGCCTCCGGGCTCTTCCTCGGCTTCCTGCTGCCAGCGCCCACCTTAGGCTCTGCTGGGGGAGGGGGACAGGCTGGCGACAGGGGTATCCCTTTTCAGGTTCCAGGTTCTGGGGGGGG